GAAAACTTAAACTTGAAGTCTGGTAAACGCCGTTGCCACATTTATTAACAGTAAAATCACCTTTGGTATGACGATTTTTTTCTAATAGTCTACTGGCCATAACACTTCACTCATTATTATGTTTTGTGATGTCTATATTTGTCATTTCCACTTTTTCAAAATCATTTAGTAACGCTTTAGATATCTGACGATCAAATCACTGCCCGATTTGTCAGCACTTCAATTCATTTTGTAATTTCCGAGATGTATTCTAATTGTGCTAGAGATGTAAGCAATGTTTAAACAACCGGCATAATATCAATATTGATTGTATCAATATCTAAATGTATTTAATACACATAAGATTTAAACAAAACTTAATGGATATAATATATCTCATATTTCAACAAGACTCATATGTTCCTATCCTATCTCCATAACAAATATGTTGTTGTGTTCCCGTAGACAAAACCCCCAAAATAAACAAATAAATCCATTAAACTGCTAGTGGATTAAGGCATTGACAGTTCACTTAGACGGTCAATATATAAACATACATTTTACTCCCACAAAATCCTGAACAATCAAAGGTCGGTTTTTGTTTGTTTGGAACTTCAACCAAAGATGAAGATCTAGCTCTACCTCCACACTGCTCAGTACCAATATTACATAAGTGTTCTTATAAGCAAAGCCTGGAAAATTTCATGAAACCTGTTTCCAAACTATTAAATTTATATTTTATCAGTATTTTACTTCAGGCAGCATAAATCGATTATGACATGTATGAAGACAAATCAAGGTAACGAACAAAAACTGAGAGAATCGAATGAACTCTAACTAGACATGGTGCGTTAACTGGGTAAACGTCTCACGCTATGTATGCATCATCCGCCGTGTAAATCCACACTCAACATGTCACAATCGGGAATAGGACACACTCTGTAAAATGACCTGCTTATGCTAATGAAGTCTGTATAGTGTGAACATGCATGAGTGTCCCGTATCAATTGGGTAATCCTGTATGTATTAGATGTAGGCTTCTCATAAACGCCCATCAAACATGGGATGACTTCATCTGATTCACATAGAAGTAATAAATAGTTATTTTATCTTTTCTCTTGTTCTTAAAAGAGTAATTTGTTTTGATAAAACAGGAATAGTGGCATTATCTCAAATTTTCCAGATGCAATAACCCTTTCAGAAGATGTGTCATAGTTCTGGATTTAGAATGAAATCTTTATTGTGTCTATTTTTCTGTCATCAAATTGATAATATCATCACTGCTTTTATATGGCTATATAAATACCTGTACTATCTTGTCTTTTTCTGGATTAATTACCAAAACCTGAACTTTTTGCTGATAAATGATAACACTTCTATGTAAATAATTTTGTGTCTAACCACCAGCTGAGGACATTTCTCCTCGGCGTAAAACTTTTGTTGGAAAATAGACACTTTGAACTATTTTTTTTACATTACTACCTATTGTGTTTATAAACGGATATGACTTTGATGTTCCAAAAAAAATCCATCTTGATAGAATAGTAAATTTTCTGAAATTGTTATATCTATAGTGCCTTTGATTATGTTTATACATATGGTACAAATGTATTTATAGACACAGTAAATATAGAGATGTTTAATGGATATAGCAGACTGTTCGGTTATTGAACTATAACATACAAATTCTTCATGCGTCTTGTAAACTTGGATTTTGATTCTTGCATGTGAAATATCTTACTCGTATAATACAAGGTTGTCACTTGAAATCAAATGTTTATACAAGTATACCACAACTTCCTAATAGCTACAAAGACTAAAGAAATACATAGCAGAAGCCATATCTCGTATATTATTTTATTTAGTTTGAATAATTACTTCATTTAATCATGTATTTTCATGTGTCACTTTCAGAACTACTGTGTAATTACTCTTTACAATTGAAAAATCACCAACAATCCACTTTGATATGATTGTTTGTAGAACATTGATACGGCTTCTGTAATTTTTCACTAGAAGTACGTATTTTATGTACAAATCATGAGAGTAAGGCAAGATGTTCTTTACAAACACATTAATAAGGTAGATGATATATAAGGGAAAGGACAAATAAGAGTCAACAGGAGTTTACCTATGTTCAAAACTCGTTTGACATACATGGAGTATAAAGCTAAGTCTTCACCTTAGACTATTCTTCGCCTTTTATCCCAGTTGACCAGCTTTACAAACCTACCAATTGGATTTATTTTTTATTTGTTCTCATCCTAAATATGCATGATAAATTTACCACAAGACTTTAAGCCAACAACAATATATCTTTCTCACTGTCTCATACAACCAATTGAGGCAATAGAGCAAACAGCTTTATGATTGTTCATTTTTTGACTACCCACCAGGAGACGGTATTAAAGAGTTAAGAAATTAAGACAGCAAAGCTTTCAACTGTCATCGGTTTTACCGTGAACCATGCGTAAAACATCCGCCTTATAACTTACGTTTTTCATCCGTGGTAAGAACAAAAATCAGAAAAATCAAAGACACCAGGATTATAATTTTGTACGCTATACGTGCGTTTCGTCTACACAAGACTCATCAGTGACGCTCGAATCATAACAAAAACAGACGGTGCTATTTTACCTGTAAATGATTAGCTTTAAAAAGGCACCTGGGACAGTGGTAAACACTAAAACATAAGAATAAACTGTACAAATCAGTTTCAAAGGGCTTGGCTCATCAGATCTGTATTTAAAACAAAAGCAACTAACCAAAAAAGACAAAAGACACAAAATACCGATCTAAGAGTACTCCCAGTTCCTAAAAGATTGTTTAAGTCCTAATTTAACAAATTCCAAAAAAACATTTACTCCAAGACTCAAATGTGTTTGACAGCATTTTTATTATTCAATACGTTTTTGCCGAGAGTATCAACACAATTCTCAAACTCGACTGATCGATGTGATAAGTTATCATCAAAATTGACGTGTAAAGAGAAATTTGATTCATTCCGATTAAAACACAGACTAATTTCAGAGACTGCATTCTTGAATATTGACCCGTTAGTTTGACATTTCCTTAATACTGTAATTGGAAAATAGAATGCAAGAGCTAACTAAAATAATTTTCCACAATAAAGTGTAGGTCTTCTTCGACAGATACAGAAACACTTGCGTTATGTGGAGACTGCCGAAAACAGGAAGTTTGAAAGATTTCTCGGATCTAGTTCAAACTTAAATTTACATATACACAGACGTCAATGCCATTCTAGTATTCCACAACGGACAAAACCTTTAACTACGATTTAAAACCAACACTACCATTAACATGTGACGGATTTAATTTGTGTAGATCGGTGAAATACCAGAAGGTTATGTATAGAACAACGTACACTGTTCAGAAAACCACTTACCTCTATGATATGGATAACAGACAAGACAAAAACACAGACACAAAAAAAAAACAATTGCAAACGATACGTGTCAATATATGCTCACCAGGCAAGTGCCAAGTATTTAACCTGTTAATATGAATTCATGGCGAACTACATTCTAATCTCTCCATGTAGTTTCATAGAGAAACGTTTAAAACAGTGCAAAAGAACACGATTTTTTTAAATGCCCAAAGTAAATTTAAACATTCACTCTTCTAACTATATATAAGCGAACTGATAAACAATTAAAATACCAGACGGATTGATTGAACATGAACAGTATAATCATAATCTTTATCATTAAGTCTATTCATTCAAATGAGTTGAAGGACACTTCCTAAACATGTCTGATTAATAAATGATATTACCGTCAAAAGATTTGTTTGAAATATACTTTTTTACCAATGTGTGCTATCATTTTCTCTGTTGTAAATAATTACTGTTTTTGGGTTTTTTTTATTCATATTTGTATGGTTTTTTTTTATAAAGCAAACTAATAAATGTAAACTCATTAAGAAACCTCGATGAATCAACACAATCAAGGACAGATCATTCAATAATAAGAAAGGATTAGTCATCCCGTTGCAAATTGCATATTACAAACATTAAATATAAAATGTTTTTATTGTTTAATCATACAAAAAATATACGAGTTTTAAACAAATGAATATTGCAAAAATATTGGTATGCCCCAGCCAATTTGAATCTTTTACTTTGATATATTATGTTATAAACTACAGACACGGTAAAGCATTTATACTCAGTAAAAGAGTTAGGAATATAACGAGGGAAAAGGGGGGGGGGGGGGCAATCAAAAAACATATTTCAAAGAAATAACCGCCACGAGACAAAAAACGAAGTTAAATAACAGTTCACAAAACAATGCACAGAAAAGTAAAGTTTGGGAAAAAAGTAACTCATAAAAACTTTGGGTCTTCTTCGTGAGCTGCGTAAAGGTAAGCAGTTTTTATAATCAGATCACAAATTTTGAGTTCGGATTTTTGTTCTGAAAGTTCAGAAATATTGTTCTGTGTATATGTTGTGTACAAGATGCAAGTTTGTACAAATTATAATTTGTACAGGGTTTTTGTACAAGTTATAAGTTTTTTGACACATACCTTTTTGCACCAGGTGATAAAAGTTTACATTCTAAAATTTATCAGCTTAATGTCTTAAATTCAAATTTATACACTTCAACTTAACATTTAGTGCTATTCTCCTTGTCCTAAAACTGGAAATAAGGACACCTGAATGGTTTAAATTCTATTTTTATTTTTCTCCTTATACCAAAATCATATCCATAAAAAGTAATTTTGTGTTGATATAATGTTTTTTGTATCAATGCTCAGTATTAGACTGCATCATGTAGTCATGGAAATATGACAGAAATATGTGAAACAAAAGACTGTGTGCTTGTATCATGCATTTGTGTTAAGCGGTTCATAAAACACTGATAACTTGTACAAAAATTCTGTACAAATTATAATTTGTACAACATTACAATTTGTACACAACATATATATGTCTAAAGATATTTTCGAAATTTCAAAAAGATACTTCAAGATAAGTTATTATTGTTTTCATTCTATTTTAGAGGTTATGGCCTTCATTAAACCATGGCTTAAAAGAATCACTGGATGACAAATATACAAAAGAAGTAAATGAAGCTTGGAAAAAATTATACATGTACATTTGTTATCACATGAAAAGGGGGATGGAAAATCCAGATATGGACTTAGAAGGTTATAGTGTGTATGCAGACCGGTGAAATAGGACTAAGATGGTGTTTGTGTAGTAAAAGTGAACAGTGCTGTATATTTAATTCATTTAAAACAATTTTACGAACATAAGTGTCATGAGCTCTTTAGAAAAGTTTTCAATATATTTGCATTTTAAATATATCTGTCCATGTTAAATAAATTATGGAATTAAACTCTCCAGCATAGTAGTTTATCATTCCGTCTTTAACTTTAAGTTGGGTATTTTTTCTGTTGAAGTAGTTACATTAATATCCAATTTAATTGTTTTTTTGTGTTTTGTGGCTAAGAACAAGTTTAGACATATTGGTGCTTTGTCTGTGAAAATAATTCCACGGAGTCATTTAGATAAAGTAAACAGAATATTTGATTTAACATAATGATCGTTTTATTCGAATACTGCCATGAAATATGAAATACCATATATTCTATTCTTTCATGTTTTATTCATTATTCTAGTTTGATGGAAATGAAATCAGAGTTTTGGGACAGCCTGAAGTGCAACACCATTTATAACAATACATTTACCGTAAAGTGACAGGATAAATAAAGTAGTGTCAGTGTTTCAAGCGTTGTTTTCTAAAAAACTCAACCCAAATCTAGATTCTGGGGCACAACTATTGATACCACAGACAATATATATTGATCAAATTACTATATTGTACAATAATGTGATGTAAACGCGATGAGAAGAAAGAGGTCAACCCAGACACTGTTAACAATCCATTCATTAACGTAGTGTTATGGAAAAGACCATTTCAACGGAAATACCTATTAGTGTTTTATTAACTAAAACCCTTTCTGAAAAAATAGTGTGTCCTTATGTTCAAATTTTAATATAGGCTTTGATATTCATTGATAATTTGAATATCGCACATTTCTTACCAAATCAAACTAACATTCTTATTTATCAAAGATGCATGTAATTTAGTGGTAATAAATTAATCACTTCAAAACAATTTATGAAAAGTATTTGAAAATTCTAATATTTCGAGTAGGCAAGAAGAAAGTAAGGAGGGTATTTCACTTGATGATCAATAATACGTGTTGGCAAACATATTTATTTGAAGCTTATCATTAATATGTAATCAGTGGAAGTGTTATTCTTATTTTCCAGTACTGGTTCGATACCGCTGGTGATGAAATATTAGTCCCTGATGGTATCATTAGCACAAAAGTCATTGCTTGTGTACTGACATGAGTCAAAAAAGACATTTTTTTTAAATTTTACGTCAATAAATTAGTAAATATTATGAAACCTGAGGTTCCAGATCCCTCAGACAAAGTTAACCATAGGAGGTTTATATCCATTTTAAGCATGTACCTCAAGTATTTATACATCCTGGGGTTTAAATGTTTGGTTTTAAGCGTTCCTGATGAGGGTTCATCCAGAAAAACGCTCCAAATTTAAAGTTTTATTCTTTTTATGAAAGATAGGATATATTATATAATTGTACTTTTAAATGATGAATTATGACACATTCTTACATTGGTAAATCATAGGATTGTTTCTGTTTCATTTGGCTCTCGTATATTTAAATAACCGGCTTTAGTGTTTTCGCTCAGATTTAAAACTAGTGACATGGTGGCTTTCATTAAGATTAATTGCTATATAAACATAAACTTAACTCTAACATCAATATCTTCACAATTATGAATCAACAGTTTTACTTTTTTTAAATTTTGTTACTTCAGGGATAACTATCTTAATTAAATTTATTCTAATATTGACTTATCTTATTTTTTCAATAGGAGATCACTAGAAGACGGTATTTCACATCTGGCGTAAAAATTGTAAGCCTGGTATTTATGATGAGTTTATTTCCAACCACTGGGTAGATGCCACTCCTGATGGAGGTTTCCTTTCCGAGTGTTTCAACGGCCCAGTAGTCATCATTTCTGTGTTGACATGAATAATCATTGATATGGTCATAATTATCAATTAACTGTTTACAAAACTTTGAATTATCCTGAATACTAAGGATGTTCTACACCAGGAATGGATTACCTTAGCTGTATTTGACAAAACCTTTTGGAATTCTGTGTCCTCAATGCTCTTCAAATCCTTACTTTATTTGGCCTTTTTAACTTTTGGTTCGAGTGTTACTAATGATTTTTTGAATACTAAACTTGTGTCTGGCGTACAAAATGTTAAGCCTGGTATCTTTGATGAGTATAGTCACTTTGCTCCGCGCGTTTTGATCGAACGCCATATTGTAGATTTCTGTGGAAAATATCCGATGTAGTGTTGATGCGCGATTAATTGTCGATTTTATCTCTGCTTCTAAATGTAGTCTGTTGTTAGTTTCGTAATGGCTAAGAGAGGGGTTCATGAAAATGGAAAAGAAAATTTCTGGTAATGGTCTGACTTTCCCCCTTTTTTTATTTACCTTGGAAGTGAGAATTTTTGTTATACTTTTTTATAATCCATCGTGACTCAACAAAGTACATTTACATGGACTTATATGTGGACGCTCTATATATTAGATATATATTTCCAAATTATTGTGACCTTGGATGAAATGCACAAAAAGGTCTTAAAAAGGTCATAAATTATCCGAGATAGAAGAACTTTAACTGTCATTAACCGTTATATAAGCCATTATTGTTAGAGCTCGTGGACACAAATATACTCCGTCCGATGATTTGATTTGGTTGTCTTTTCAGCCATTATGCAGCGTCAGCGTAGTTGGAAATACCGTTGATTTCTCTGTTTGATTATTCCTCTTTTCCTTGCTGATAAAATTGTATGGAAGTCCCGCAGTGGTAACTCATACTTCATATAAAGAAACCTTATCCAAGATCATCAAAAGATCCCACTTCGATGTCTCCTTTTAAAACCATGGTCTATAGAGGACACGGACTCCCGCTGTTGGATATTGATACGATGCTTGTGATATGCTCATCAGTTTAGGCGGACACATAGTTTCTAATGTTACTAAATTATTCATGCTTTATTTCTGAATTCATTTCTTTGAGCTTTGACCATGTTTTGACAGATATCATATTATGCAATTATTGTATAAAAGTAGTTTAATGATTACAAAGAGATGTCGGATATACAAACTGTCGCTAACGTGGATCTATGTGAATCTTCATAGTTTTAATCGCAAAAATTGGTAAAAATCATTATTGAAGGACAGAAATTCCTATGATAAATGGACTTAAATTTTTGGCTTTGTTGACATATTTATTACCCAAAACGCAAAAAGACCTAAATAAATCGTTATCTAAAGGTAATAACACCTAAAAGGAGTGAACTGACAATCTCGGCTATGTTTATCTATTTGTAGATTTTGGTCTTGCTGGTCGTTTTTGCTTTAAAAGTTTCTATCTATCCATTGTTGTTTCCAAGAGAATAGGCAAACACAAAAAAATGGTAAAACTCATCATTTAAGTGCAATAAATCCTATAAAAATGTCTGCTGACGATTTCAGTCATGTTGACTTATTTGTAGATATATTGTCTTGCTGATCATTTGTGTTTCTCAAAGTTTCTATCTATTTATTATAGTTTTCGAGTTATAAGGCAAAAGTCCTCATTTAAGGATAATAACTCCTATAAGAACTCGTCTGACGATTTTTAAGCCATGTTTTACTTTTTTTATTTTCTTGCTGGTCAATTGTACTTAAAAAATTTCTCTCTATCTATAATGCTTTTCAAAATAATAAACAAAAGTGAAAAAATTATAATATTAGTCTTTTCAGATTAATAAATCCTACAAGAATTCGTCTGACAGTTATGATGTAAATAAACAGTATGTAGATCTCAACTTTCCGGACATTAATCTATGTCAGATTTCTCTTTGTAACGCAGTTTTCAAGATAATTGACTAAACTTAAATTATATCCTTATTTTCTATTTTTAGTCATGTCGGCCGTGTTGGTCAGCAGGCGGTATCATCCTACACATTCTTTAAATCGATATCCTAATAATGATTATGGCTAAGATTGGTTCCAATTGTCACAGTTATTTCAGAGAAGATTTTTGTAAAAGCTAACGGGCAACGACGACGACAGGCAACAGAAGCCAAGTGATGAGAAGAGCTGATTATTTGACCCTCTTGGTAAGGTGAGCTAAAGTATGCGAGTCCTTGAAATTTGAGGAGTCTCTGCATTACGCGTGTTTCGAACATGTACAGTCAAGAAGAAGGGAACAACGGAACATGGCATAAAAGGAAAATAAAAGGTTCCTAAGACTCTGAATCGCTCACCTGCTAAAACATACCTTGTATTACCGAGTCATTCATTGGTATTGGTCATATTGGAATTATTGTAGATCAAGCATTGCCGATCATTATTAGTGTGTCTAATTTCTACCTATCTATTATAGTTTTCGGGATGATAGACATAAACTGAATAAATTATAGTTTAAAATCGTTATTTCAGGGCAAAAACTACTATACGAACTCATCCAATGGCTTCTGTCATTTAGCATTTTTGTAGCCTTTATATTGTTCATCATTGGTCATTTCTGTTATTTACAGTTTCTACCTATCTATTTTAGTTTTCAAGATAATACACAAAAAACCGAAAATTTGTCAAAAATTGTAATTTAATGGCAAAAAACATATAAGGAGTCATCCAATACTGTTTGCCATATTGGCATTTTCTGTAGATCTTGTATTGCTGATCAATTTCTTCCTATCGATTTTTATAGTTTTCGACATAATAGACGAAAACACAAAAATAAGTAAAAAATCATCGCCTGAGGACAATAGTTCCTATAGGATATCATCTGAAAATTTTCAGTGAAAACGGGAAGTGGGTAGTTAATCCATGTTTATTGACTGACTGGCTTAAAAAGAACAACAAACTTTATACTAAATACTCTCAGGAGCATTCATCCTAATTTTAGATTGAATTGGTTCATTAGTTTCAGCGGAGAACATCTTTACAACATCGAGTGACGACCAGTAAAGGCAATATCTCACATAGCCCAATGAGCCAGGTGAACTAAAAACGAAAATATGTCAGAAAAATTCGTCTCGTGTCATGAAATAATACACTGAGGTAAGCCTTTTTTAAATCCCAGTCATATGAAGCATTGGACTAAAAAAGACACATAAAGGCAACAGTAGTATACCGCTGTTCAAAAGTCATAAATCGATTGAGAGAAAACAAATCCGGGTTACAAACTAAAACCGAGGGAAACACATCAACTATAAAAGGAAAACAATGGAACAACAGAAACACTGAAGTGCAACAAAAACGCCAATGCAACATACATAGAAACGAACTATTTCATAACAACTGCCATATTCCTTACTTGGTACAGGACATTTTAAGAAAAAAAATGGTGGGTTGAACCTGGTTTTATGGCTAGCCACCCCTCCCGCTTATATGGCAATGTTAAAAATACCGTTAAAATGACAACATTACGTGACAGGAC